ATTCCAACCTAAGCAGACAGCTGGGATTCTCTCCGGAGAAAACTCAGTTTGGCTTAAAGTCTGATCCCATGAGCTAATTAGGTAAAACTTCACAGCCAGGGACCCGGCACGCCTGCCGGTGGTCTCAACCCGAGGCCGAGCCTCTAAGTGTGTTTTTAACTCCCGAGGGGAGATTTTATTTTGGAAGGAGGAACCGGATACGGCTTGAATTTTTCTGGCTTGGACTGAAACAGACGAAAGTTACCTGGAAAAACACCTGTTCGCCAATAAGCGGTAAGCGAGCCGACATCAGTTCCCTGATTGATCGGAGACAAGCCAGCTCCTACCCCGAGGGTGCCTTAAGAAGTCATCACCAGGTAAAGCTGATGTGTTCGGAGTGACGTGTCATGTGGATCCTGAGCTTAGAAAAGACGTGCAGTTCCAGTTGACCCACACTTTGATAAAAGTAAAAGTCGTAGTAACATACTAATCTTACTTTCCTCCTTTCCTTGTTCTTAATTTGCCAAAACTTAAGCTAAAAGTGCCAGTAAAATTGTTTGGTTGTTAACATCAGAACTGACATTTTACTGTTCTATATAAGTAATCTGAGTTGATGTGAATTGAAATTCGGACGCGGGTTTTATCTCATTYAACTATGACGCTTGTTACAGGAATGACCACAATCAAGTGTAACTTATGATCTGTTCAATTTCTGTAAATAAATGATTGCATAGTCTTTTATGAATCAACTTGAACTCGTCTGAACGTTCACTTATTGTGTCACTTTTCACTTMGCACAGTCAAGATATTTACAAGTAATGAGAAATACCTTGGTAAAAGTTTCCTCATAACCTTGTGTATGAGAGATGTGGGAAAAGCTTAATTCACCTTAAACTCACTCTTACATATTGGTGGCACCGTACGGGTCCATTTTTAATGGTAACTCGTAATATTTTTCTCATGAAAATGTTATCTTCTGTGCACTGTGGAAAAACACTGTTTTTCTTCATGTTGGCAATAGACMAAGTGTTATTATAAGACTTTTTATGGCTGATTGGTGCTCAGAGAATAGCAAAAACCTGCAGATTGTATCGTTTTCTGTCAGTTTGAAGTTATAAATACGTCTGTAACATTAATTATTGCTGAAAATAAGATGTTCACGGCTGTTCAATGTTGTGACATCAGACCTAGAGCAAGTCGCCTTTTCTCTCTCATTATAGCTGAAAGCTATTTTAAAATCCTTAATATGCGCTGTGGAAGCCAGTTTATGATTTATTTKCATGCATGTTGTCTGTATGACATTTTATTAAGGATCCTAAAACCAGTATTAGAAACGTCTTAACAGGTGTATTTATTAATCTGGTTGGTTATATATAGTGTTTGTACGCGTGTCCCTACAATACACATTTTTATATAACCACACTCCTCTAACTTCTTAATAAGTTGGCCACTTATTAGTGTTACACTACGTTCATTGTGAATGAATTAAGGTGAGGAGTGAAATTAGCAACTCTGAGCTAATGAGAGATAGCTCCAGGCTACTCCTGGATGGAAAAACTCGAACGAGTCGTCCAGATTGACGGCTAACCGCTGTCTACCTGTAAAAAGTGTCATTAGCCAAATTGAGAACTCGGTGTGTGTTTTAAGGCAAACTTTAGCAGGACTGTGACTCCGGAGCTCAACAGTCCGAGCCAAAAGTGGGGAAACGGGAGCGCGCAGGCATGACTTCTCAGCCACCGCGTGCCCATGTTTACCTCGGCAAGCTTAAAAATAAGTTGTTTGGTCTGCTGGCGTGGTCAGAAAACTATTGCTGATTGATTTTGAAACGCTGTGTTTAAACTCTGTTTAAATACTGTGAATTTTCATTCCACAAAGCTGTTTCACATCTGCGCAGCTCGTGTGCAACGCTGAGCTGCGTTATAAAAAAAACTGGCAGCCATTCTCTTGCAGAGTGGAGCAAGGGAGGCGGAACTCCCTGCATTAGACGCTCTGCGATTGGCCGACACAGGTCCGTCAACCGCCGTGTTGACATCTAGCTGTCATTCTGCTGGTTAAATCAGATTGAAGTGTCATGGTGCGTTCACACCGAACGCGATTTCAGCGTCAAAATCGCAGCCAACGCTGAAG